TAAATTTGCTCTAAATGCACAATATGCCTTAAGGTACTAACATAATAAAATACAAAGATAAATTCTAGATGGCACAGGAAGGATTTGTGCAAAAACTTTTACACTGATAGAACTTCACGAAGAAAAAACTTGGGGACACCTGGTAGTTTCAGTAAATTGTGTATCCAATAACCAGAATCACAATACTAACCCCTATTCCTAAACCCTGCTTATTCTTTGAGTTCTACCAGGGAATACCAGAATTCATCTATGAATTATGGGTGTCAATATGAAATGTTTCTAGCTGCAGGATCCTCATTGCTATTTGGTTTCATTATTAAACTAAAGCTATCTACTTAAATTTCTTTCTACCATGTAGTTTGAAAAGCATATACCTGAAATCTTTAGAAATAGATCTAAATGTATGAGTTTCCCCGAATAAAACCAAATGCATTTATTGTTTTTAATAAGTCAAGTGAACAGTGAGAACTTAAATCATTTCACTTTATTCTAATTATGAAATGAGCAATGAAATCAGTATCAAACTGCCTAATTCATCCCCACCCTATTTCTTCAGTACAACCACAGAATGTTAACACAATTCCATAACCCTTAAGAATTTGGTTTATGAGAAATCACTGAAATAGCTAAGTCTTTTCTGACTCAATCATTTTGTCAAAAATATTTTTATGTCATGCTTACTCTTAAACATTTTAGGCAGAGTATGAAACTATAAATCTACAAAGAATCTAAATATATTTACTTTAAAATCATTTTCAGAGTCAGTGAGATGGCTCAGTGGGTTAAGGTGCTTGCTGCCAAGCATCATGTCCTGAGTCCAGTGCCCATGATCCACATAGTAGAAGAACCAACACCTGCAAAATATGACCTCCACACACAATAAATTAAAAAATAAAATAATATGATTTTCAGACTTTTCAATTACTTGCATGATGTTCAGAGTAAATCATTTTGATTGTTGATCTGGTTGGCTGTCTTGATGTGAGCCTGTTATATTATGGAAAACTAAAAAGATTTGTTGCCATTGATACAATTTCAACTCTTACGTAAAATCTGGTTTTCTTCATGTGTCTCAGGGTATTTATTATTTTATTTATGTGTATGTGTATATGTTAATGTCTTGTGAATGCAGGGACTTGTAGGGGCCAGAAGAGGGTGTTAGATCCCTGGAGCTGGAGCTATAGGCAGTTGTGAGTCACCCAATGTGGGTATTGGGAACCAAACTCAGGTTCTCAGAGCAGTACATGTTCTTAACCGTTGAGCCCTCTCTCCAGTCCAGGGTCTCAGGATATGTTGTGATACAGGTTCAATTGGTTTCCTCCTCAGAAGCGAGGCTAGTCCAGGTCTTAGTTATTAGGTGGCTGTATCTCCCCCTCCCCCCAATCTCTATAGTCCTGTGTGGTGTGGTGTGGTGTGGTATGTGTTCACACATGCATTCACTTGTGGGAGCCAGAGGCCAAAGTCAGGTGTCTTCCTCTATTATTTTCCATCTTCTTTTTTGAGAGGAAGTCTCATTAAACCTCAGGACTTCCACTAGACTGGCTGGCCAACAAGCCCCAGGAATCTACCTGTATCCAACCCACAGAGCTTAGTTTACAGATGCACACCTCACACCTTGCTTTCCCATAGGTCCTGGGGATACAAACTCAGGACTTCATGCTTGGGCAGTAAGCACTTTACCCACTGAGCCATCTCCCCATTCTTTCTTACCTTTTAAAAAAAAAAAATTATTTAAAAAAATTTTTATGTGTATGAGTGTATTGCCTGCACATGTGTAAGTGTACCTAACTGTGTTGTGTAATGCCCATGGAGGTCAGAAGAAGGCAATGGATCCCCTAGAATTGGAGCTATGGATGGTTGTTAGGTGCCATGTGGGTGCTGGGACTCGAACTCAGGTACTTTGCAAGAACAGTCAGTGATCTTAACCACTGAGCCATTTCTCCAGGACCTTAGTTCCTCTAATTTTTAAAATACTCATTTCTACTAAGTCATACATACATCCAGATAACAAGTTTCTGGTCCCTACTTATGTTTATCATATATTATAACATCAAATCACCATTTGTAGACCCCTTAGGGTTCTAAAGACTCTTTCAGGAACCTATGAAGGACCAAAGTATTTTTGTAACAACACTAGAACATTATTTATGTTCTCTGGTACCCTGGCATTTACACTGATAAAACAAATGCATTGATGGGTCAAACTGCTGGTCTTTAGTAAGAATTAACAACATTACCAAACTATATTCATTGTCATACATTTGCAGTTTGACAATAAGGGGGGAGTTCATTTAAGAATGTCTTTGATGAAGCAGTAAAAATTATTAAATCCTGACCCCTGAATCTTAATAATTTAACAAAATGGGAAATATAAAGATTTTTGTTGCATACCAAATGCAACAATAGTGGCTGTCTAGAGAGAAAGTACTTATCAACTGAATCGTAAACCAAATACTAGTTTTCATTTTCCTTTGTAACACTACCACCTCTCTCCCATCTTCCCAAATAGTGGTCTACCTTCACTGCCTTCCTTACCTGACAGACATCCATCCACTTAGCCTGTAACAATGTGGCTTATGATTTTACTGACTTTTCTTGCTAAAGCCACTAACAGTCTTTTGATTACCCAAAACAAAGGGCATGCTGTGACTTATTTACCTAACTCTCCATTGCACCTAACATTACTGAGCATTCTTTCCTTGAAATCCTAGCAGTGATGTCAACACTCTTTCTCTCCATCTTCCTAGCCATTCCTTTTTCTCCTTTGCTGGCAGGATCTGCTGTATCTCCAGTCTGTATTTGTATGTTAAGCTGTTAATCCACAAATGCCACTGCCTACTGGACAATGCCACTTCTATGATGTAAAAAGGGGCCACAAACAACATATCCTTATTAGCCCACCCTCGGGAGGGGCCTAATAATGACCTACCTTGGATAATGGTGAATGCCATTACCAGCCCAAGTCAGAAATATGACAGTCATCCTAGGGTGCTCCTTCTGTACATGTTCTAATTTCGAGAAACTTCTCTAGCCCCACTACAACAGATTTTAGGCACCCATCATTTCCAAAGCAACAGATCTCCCTTTTTCCAATGCTGACCTTTCCAAGCCATTCTTAAAACTTGTAAGAAATAAAAATTTCTAAGGCAAATCTAATTATTCACTTTGGATTCTGAGGCTAACCAGAAACTATCTAATAAACAACCTAATACTCTATATCCTGTACACATAGACCCAGGTTTTCAAGATCAATCCTACAGGAGGCAAGGGCTTCAAACGTACCTGTCAGAATCATCTCCAACCATTCCCTCTCCCAGTATGCTGACTCCAAAAACTTACACAGGGCTACGGTGCTTCAACTTTTCACCTCTCTGAACATTAAGATTCCCTTTGGCCGGAAAACCACACCCTACCCACTAGCCAAGTGACCTAGCACTCAGCCTTCAAATGTTCTTTCATCTTAAGTCCTGCCTAAGGATTCCTTCTGTTTTCATCTGTTATACACTTCACATATAGTTTTACTATAGAATTTACCATATGACATTCTTATACACTTAATCCCCAAAAGATCACGAGGCAAGACTTACTTTATTCATGTCTGTGTGCTGGTTTTTAACATGGTCCTGGTATATGATACCTCCTCAAATATTTCTTGAGTAAATACTCACTACACCATTAACACTCTACAGCCTAACCCCAAAATTATTTCCTGCACAATAAAAAGTTGTTCAAACTGAAGTTATTTCCTTAACAAACTTAACTATAATTTCAAAATACACCAAAAGTCAAATGATTATTTGTGCTTTAAAATATTAAAGAAAATGATATGAACTGCCTTTTCCTTTTAAAGTGAAAATTTAAATTATTAAATTGAATTGGAACCTTCTGTGAGACTACATAGACTTTTTCTTAACTTTTACATTTCATTAGCCCAAATAATGTGATTTCTTTCCTGCAAGTTTTATTTTGGAAGTTCAAATCCTAAGTTTATATTTAAACCTAGACTGAGGTTTGTAGTATCAGATTCACGTGACTCGCTGGTGTTGTGGCACACACCTTTAGTCCCAAGCACTCAGGAAACAGGCAGTGGATCTCTAGTGAATTTGAGGCCAGCCTGGTCTACCTAAGGAGTTCCAGGCCAGTCAGGATACATAGTGAGACCCTGTCTCAAAAACACATAAATAAGAATTCTTGTGTCTTTTGTCATTTATAGGAAATGGGCACCATTTCAGTATTCAGAAAACTGGAGGACTAGTGTAAGTAGAAAATTATAGTAGTTCTAGGTTAAAACATGGCAGGAAACTGGAGTTCTTATTCTTTATGGCCAAAATAAAGAGTGAAGGAGTTAAATGTTACTGGCTATGCAATCACTGCTGGTGCGCACGCCGGGCAAATGTCAGCTCCTTAATTTAACGTGGTCCTGAAAATCTGCACTGTAGTAGGTACCGGGCCACGAAGTCTCAGACAACTGGCCGTGCCTGCTGAGCTACCTTCGAGCGCCAAGGTCGTATTACTAAGTCTCCTTTGATGTTAATGATTATGAATGTTCCCAGTAAAGGACTGAAAGCTCACTTTCCAAGCAGGATGTGGCTTACAAGTACCTAAAAACAAACCACGTCCATTTCTGGCATGTTCTGAAGGGACTGGGTGCGTGCAGGGCAAGGGGCCGTGCCCCCGACTCCTACTTGACAGCGGGTCTCAAGAACGCCAGGCGGGTCGGCCTCGCCCGTGCCGCCGGGTTTCAGTTGGACCGCAGCAGGAAGTCCGGTCTTCCTTTGCAGGAGGCGGGCGGTAGAAGGGAGGGCGAGAAAAGTGAGCTCGCTCCCACACGGCGGCCGGGTGAGCGGCGGGAAGCGGCTCCGGGCTGGACGGCCTGACCCAGCCGCCCTCACCCGCCACTCGACGCCGCCATCTCCGTCGCGGCGGCCTCGGTCAGCCAGGCTCTCCACGACAAGGTCCCCGCCTCCCACAGGGCGCCCAGCGTCGCCAGCTGTACTCACCCACTCGAGGACCTTGATGAAGCCCAGCGGCTCCTTGAGCGGGTTGAGGTTGATCTGGAAGGCGGACATCCTCTGAGGGAAAGGAGGGAAGAGTCAGGACCCGGGGCGGAGGAGGAGGGGAGCCGCGCGACCCCGGCACCTCAGCGGCGAGGACGGGAAGGCGGGGACGAGCAGACTTGCAGGCGGGCCTGAAGAGGGCGGGGCGGCGGGCTCGGAGGCGGGGCGTGAGGGGGCGGGGGGGCGCGTCCTGAGGGGCGGGGCAAGTGAAGCCAGAGGGGTTGGAGGCGGGGCCGCCGGGGGGG